ATTTGAAGAATCACAATTTACTGAGAACAGAAGTCCAAGAAGCAGAAAAAACCTATGGTTAAAGCCAAAATTAATAAGAACACTTTAGCTGGTAATTGAGAAATTGCTGGAGGCTCAGAGGATGAGCTTGAGAGTGAAAAATTCCTTCTTAGGGGACCCCTCCCCCGACTTATGAGTTTTACCTGCAAGAGACCTACCAGATTCTGTGAAAACCAGAAGAAAATTCCCTCAAGTTTCCAGAAAAAAATGGGTGCATAATAAGCATTTTGAAAATTCCCAGAATATTTTGTTCTCTTTACAAAGTCCTGCTCTGAAGGAAAACTATTTTACAGGAGTCTAACCTACTAGGATTTTACCAAAGCCTAATTAACAGGGGCAAAGGAAATGCCCAAATGACATTCCTGAAAAGACTTTAGACATAACCATAGGACTATAAATTCCTCTTCTTCATCGTCTGGCCTTACCACATCAATAGAGCTCCTGTATCATAGAAGAATACAGAAGAAGGAATTGCAAGCCGCAGACCCCATTTAAGGATTGTCTAGGAAAACTCAGAAACAACAGAGACACCACAGTTATAGCAAACAGTAAGCACAGCTTCACTCCTATCCAGAAACATAAAACTTTACACCAAAAGCCTGTCTGCCTCAGCTGCTTTTACCCTGTGTAAAAAGATTGGCCAGTTGGAAAACTCTCAGCGTCTATCTTGAAGGTGAGGGTGAGCGGATGCATATACCATGAATCATTTCTCCAATATTTATATGCAACTACACACAGGGTATAGCCTGTGTGTAGCTGCATATAAATATCGGAGAAATGCTGCACATTGCCATAGTTATAAGAGGCATAACCCATCCTGAAAGATAGACCTGGAGTTCTAGAATGAGAGCATATTGGTGCTGAAGGGAATCATCCAGAGTTGGTCCGACCCTTACTTTGAGGAAGAGAAAACCAAGTTCCAGAAAGGATATGCACTATCCTGTATCCTATGAATAATGTCAGAGTCATCTCTGGAAACCAGCTTTCCTAACTGAAGAAATATATGTAAAAACAGCACATTTGTTTAATGTGCAGGTCTCTTGGGACATTATCTTAAAGGTAAATCTATATTTCATCTCCCACCATTCCTGTGGGTATATTTAATCAGTGCCGTGGAAGTTCTTTCCTAACTTCTGAAAGAAAAGTGCCGTTCCTTTTAACCATAAAATTTTAATTTTGATAGTGTCAAGGCTTAAGGAATAAGCACAATTTAAAATCTGACTTAAATTCCCACATTGTCCTTCTACTCATAGGGGATCTGCTGAGGGCTGACCCCTTGAAATGGGAAAGAAGGGCAGGTCATTGCCCTCTTTGTCTTTTCCTGCCCGTTTCTGGCCCTAATAGGTTGATGCAAGAAAAGTGAGAAGCCTTTACTTACGTGGTAATATTTTCAAATGGTTGCATGCTCTGAATGTGAAACCTGTTTACGTCTAACTCTTTACTACAGCGACACTTTTGAAGGCTTTCTGAGAACTTATCCCAGGAGTTAGCAGATGTTTTCTGTAGTAAATATTTGAGGCTGTGCGGGCCATATAGTCTCTATCTACTGCAGTTACTTGACTCTGCCTTATAGCACCAAAAACATTGTGTCAGAGAGTGGGTGTGACTGTTCCAGTAACCTGGGTTTATGAAAATAGGCAGCCAGCCCACAGGCTAGCACTTGCCAGCCTCTGACCCGTCCTATCTCAGGCAGCCCCTGCTCAAAGTGCTTGGCTTAGGCTAGTAGAATGGTTGATGACACTCCCTCGGCCCTTTGGGCAAGAACAGAGCAGCTTAGGCCGGGTTCTTTTCCAAGAGTCCACTGGGACAAGTTCTAAGATGTGGGCTCATTCCTTCTCTTCATCATGAGCTCGTCTCTTCAGGTCCACCTGGAATACTCATAAAACCTCTAGGCACTCAAGTTGATCCTTTGTCTGACAATCCACTTTACTCTGTCATTGAAAAGGCCAGTCAGCCAGTTAGGGGTCTCAGATTACTCAGGCCTGAGTCAAATCCAAGTCTGCTGGATCCATCTAGATTCTGGAACATGAGTTTCCTGAATGGTCCCCTGAAGCCCCCCTCTCTGCTTGCTGTAAGAAGCAGGAATGGGTGGGACTCATAATACATGAGCAGCAATAGCCAAATAACCTCAACAAATCCCCTTCAAACTCCTACACCTTTTTTACTCTTGGAATAGTAAATTTCTAATGTGCTTTAAAATTTCCATAGGGTAGGAATATAGCATCCATTATCTTCAGGCCTCAGACAAACCAGGACAGGAGGGCTCCATTTTCACACCTAGTGCTTAGAGGTCTGTGGTTGATAATTGAGGTTCCCTTACTTCTCCAGCCTGCATCCGAATTGCAGTCTCCAACATGTGTCTCACACTGGGGTCATGAAATTCTCCAATTTAGCTTTTAAATGTTATTGTATGAGATTCTAAAAGGTGTGACAAACACACACAAGAAATTAATGCATGCGTATTCACGATTTCCTTCTTTCCCCTTTATATTTTTGAAATGGCAGGGAGGGGCTGGCAGATGGGAAGAAGACCGATTTGAGGGGAGAATGATGAGAGAGACAAAGTGAAGAATAGCTGTGGGGGGACTAAGAAGAGGGAGGGAGAGTATAGGGACCTCTGTAGTGGAGACTTTGGGGAAAGAGAGGAGGCAAGAAGAATTTGAGGATGTTTGGTTACATTCATGATGCAGTCATTAAAACCACTCGCTTCAAGAAACCCTGTTTAAAAAAATGTCCCTGTCTTCCAGGTTTCTGGAATTGTCTGCACTTTTTTTCTTTGTTACTCTTGGTGGGGAGGGTTAGCATCAGCAGGCAGAGGGTGGCTTCAAGATGGTCCGGCTGTATTCAAGCTGCATTCCACACTGCTGGATAAATACAAGTGTCATCACTTGATTTCAGGGCTCACGTCTTACCAATCACAAATCACCTTTTGGCGGGGTAACTGTACTTCCCACTTTACTTGAGCAGATCCTGTTATTATCTTTTGTTCTAGCATCTAGCATAATTCGTAATAATACCCCTTTTTACTCAAAAGTGTCCGGGTTTGGATAATAGATTATATGGTCACTCTTCTTTAAGTGACAGCTTTTAACTTTATTGCAGTACTTCTTACTGCAATATGACTTTAGATTGTAGCATATCTTATTCTAGGAAAAAAATAGAAGTCATACATTATTTCTATTGACAAAATCAATTTGTGACTTGAGGGGGAAAAATACTGCTCAGAGAGTTGGTTACACATTTGATCCTTACAATCTTGAGACTGAGAAGTAATTGAATTAGCCTCTGTTGCAAAGACAGCAACTGCGGTTCCACATAAATGTAGCCCAAATGTTGCTTTGGCTCGCCAGCCTGGGTATCCTTTAACACCAGCAACCCAGGGAGCCTGTTCTGCCCACACTGCTACACACAGGCATTTCCTTGCACAAAGTCCTCCTGTTCCCGCTCCTTCCTGACCAAAATATTTTTGAGAATTTCTAAATATTCACATGTGTTGCCAAACCAGCCTGGCCACATCAGTACCCCCAAGACATCTGCTACATTCCTCATTTCCTACTCTGTTTCTCCCTTTTCCATGTCTGTTGCCTACAAAGGCACTTGAGCCAACCACTATCTTGCTATAGATGATAGAGTTCTAAATAAGGCCCAATATCTGTACAAAGTTGTCCTTGCTCATGCTCCCAAATCTTCCCATCCTCTGTAAGTTTACCAAAGAGTTGAGCTCTATGGAGGACTGCAGAGCAGTCTCTCTGCTGGCCACAGTTGGTCACTGGGTTCCCTGGAAGCTTGCTTGTGCTCAGAGTCTTTCTTTTTTCTGGCCTTTAATCTGTATTTCCATGGGAGTTCCAACCAGGCCAAAGGGCTAGATAGGAAATTCCGTGTAGTGTTTGTTCTATTTGTCTCCCCTTTTGACTTCCTCCTTTTGGTCAAGGAAAGCTCCCAATCACATCACTTTAGGCACAAAGATAACAGCTGAAGGAGATGCAAACTTCTTGAAGTATCCAATACCCAGCCCCTTTCTAGCACATAATAACTTTGTTACAGAGTATTTGAAAGTAGAATGTCAAGCCTGGTTAGGTCACGATTTGCTCACAGTACTGGTGACATCTCGGGAATAACTGGATCTAGATCACTCTCAAGGGTATTGTAGAGGGAGTCCCTTTATAGAATGAGAATTAGATGTGAAGGACGTTAGGATACCTGCAATTCTGAGTCTTTATGCTAAAACTAAGCTATTGCTGCCTATTGACATACTTAGAAATATGAAAACTAGATTTATGGTGGGCTGAGGGTGTATTTTGTGCTATTGTGACCAAAACACCCAATAATAAAAACTGAGAGGAGGAAAAGTTTAGTTTGGCTCAGTTTCAGAAGTCTCAGTTCACAGGTAGCCAACTCCATTGCTGTGGGCCCAATGTGAGGCAGCACATCATGGGGGAAGGATCCAGTGGAGAGAAAATGTTTCCTTCACAGCAGCAAGAAAGCAGAGAGAGAGAGAGGCAGAAGGGGCCAGGGGGAAGATGCATCCTTCCAGAGCACACCCCCCAGTGACCCACCTCCCCCAGCCATGCCTCACCTTCCTACAGTTACCACCCCGACATTCAAACTAGGATGAACTGATTAGGTTCAGCACTCACCATTTAATCGTTCTATCTCTGAACATTCCAGAATTCATACAGGGGCTTTTGGTGGACACCTTGGATCCAAACGAAAGCAAGCTCAGTGGTAGGATGAGTGCTTATCCTGAACCCAGGCCTTGGATTCAATCCCAACACAAAAATAAAAGAGTTAAAAAAAGGACTCATGGTGTATTGATTAGATCATGTCATTTACAAAAATGTACAAAAGATATATTTTCATATACTCTCTGTTTGCATGATTATCTTCCTCTCTATACTCTTAACTGATAGTTTAGTTTGGGATGAGACTTTCATTTGGAATTCTTTATCCTTTTACTTCTTAGACCTGAATGTTGAGCCCTGTTGGACACACACCTTTAACAGAGCAGAAACTGTCTACAGCAGACTGTAGGATGAATGGACCCAACCCCTGCAGCCTGCCTTGGTATGTATGTGGCACAGGGCCTGGTATGCAATCACTCACCTGCTCCACCTTCTTCTCCAAGGAGATGGGGTTATTAAGATGCTTTATCACTTCCTTGTTTCCGGTCACATACTATTCATCAGGAATGGATAATTGACAGGATGTATACAGATTTATGAGTAATACTTTTTCTCCAAGAGCATGTGATTTTTTTATTTGGTTGCCGTTGCCATATCACCAGCATTTCTTACTAGGGCAAAAGGTGACAAATTTGGAAGGAAATGAAGTTTCAACAGGGCAATACTTTAATTCCATTTAGTAGGAAACTTAGGACTTCAGAAAATCAAAGTCTGCAGAGTTTCTGAATATTTAGTTACACTCTCACATTTAAAAATATAACTTTGCATAAGCAATGCATTTGCACACCATATGTGATATGCATATCCATTTCTCCTCAGTAAATAGAAGGGGTGGCACATAACCCCTGTACTCTTCTCCATCCAATGATTCCATGTGCACACAAGCATTTTGGAAATGGAAATAATTAATCGTAGAAAATTTAACTATCATATCACCATTAAATGTGTCATTTAAGTCATTTAAATCTATACAGATTTTGCATTTACTCTTCAAAAACAGTAGTCCAATATCAAAAATTACATTTCTCTTATATGCAAATAAATTTGGAGACTAATTGATAGAAGAGACTTTGCTGCACTAGTGCCCAGTGACACGAAACATGTCTAGCTGAGCCAGGTCTGACCAAGTTGCATGCTATAGTTTGACCTTCCTCTGCCTTCCTGAACTTGCCCTGGTACATTTTTCCATTCCTTAGACTATTTATAAATCTCCTCCTCCAGTTTTTAACTTCATAGTGTTACATTTGGGAATTATGGAGTTCTTTGAAAAAAGCTGAAAGAAAAAGAGGGGGGTTCCCTTTACCTTTTGTGTCATCTATCTCTCCTGCTTTTCTACCCTTGTCATCTCTTTAAAATTGTTAAAATTATTTTATGAAGTCTAAATACTTGAGAAATTGCATACTTTGGGTTCTCTACTTATGCAAAAATATGTAATCATTAGTCAACTGGTGGGACTGAAAAATATTACCCTTTTTTTCATTTTTTATTTTTCTCTTCTGCCCTGTAAGTTTCCATTGCAATTTGGGTTACAGCACAAGGTGATGCACAGGGCATTAAAATTGGTGTTTGGAGACCAAAGTTTGAATTCCTTTTAAGCCTATAACTAGGTTTGACAAGTCACTTAGCCTGCTAAGAATTCCTTTCATGTTTACCCATTTCAATTTTGTTATGCAAATATATACACATATAACACCTATGTAACTATGCACATATATTTTATGTGATTATACAGTTGCTATAGTCTTCATTTGCTTCTTTTGCTTTATTCAGTGTAAATTGATAGAGACTTAGCTTGCTCAAAGTTTTACACAACTGAAGATTTTTTTGAGGATATGATAATTTTTTTTTCATTTGGCTTTCAAATAAACAATGAACATTAGGAAACAGAGATCCATTATATGGATAAATATGTGCTCCTTGTGCAGGGATGTCAGATGTATGCTAACTCTTTTTTTGTGTGTAAAGAGATCAAGTCTAAATCCCTTGAGTGGCTGTTCAGCTAAAGTTTAGAGTCTCTTAATCTTGTATTTGATGCTAAACCAAATAGGCCCTTAGGGAAGAATTAAGAACAAACCAGACAGTATAAAATTCTTATTTGTTAAAGTTGAATAGTATTCGTCACATTGGGTATAACCAGGGTAATTACTATAAGGGCTAGTTGAGTACACTGTCTACACACAAGCCCTTTAAAGTAAAAAGAAGGGGATACAGAAAGACTAAAGAGATTAAATATTTTTTCCTTATTATTTGTCAGAGTATTGCCCTTTCAGTATGTCAAAATGTCATTCCGATGAATAGATAAGGCCATGCCTCAAAAAATGAGTTGAATAACACACATTGACCTAAATGCCATGAAACTTCTTTTGTATTCTTGAATGTTAGATTTTTGTTCATAGAAACAAGAATATTGTCCAAAGAACAGGATGTTTTGAAAAGGTTCATTAATAATTAGCAAAACTTGAGGAAAATTCAAATAAACATAAACTCTTATGAAACACTATGATTTTTAACCACTAACTTTAGGCCTGCTACTGTGATAACCTAAAATATGTTTTTTCTTCTTGGAAAAATAATTATATATGAACACATTTTTCTGCTAAAACAGATTTTTACCTAAAATCTAAGTCAAAATTAAAGCAACTTCAATATTGTTCTTTAAGGGTATTTAAGCTATTTAAAATTGAAGGTTACATTTACAGTATTTCTTGCTCTTGCCACATATTCAGAGTTTGTTCTTATACTTATTTGGGAAGAACATTATTTTCCCCTGTTTTAGGTGTCACATTGCTAGATGCTTCAGTAATAATCAGGCCTCACCTTCACTTCCAGGTAGTGTGGAAGCTTCTATTTGGTTCCATGGCTCCCATGACTGGCTATGATGTGGTGCCCCTCCATACTTGGGGCTGACTCTCCATGTGCCTCTGCTACCCTCTCCACTCTGCCAACCACAACTGCCTCCCATTGCCTGTTTTCATCCCAGATACCTGGAGCCTATACAGTAGATACTGAGATACAGAACCCTTAGGGGTGGGAGACCTGGGTGATGGGCTGTATAATATTCCTTGTCAAAGTAGAAAATTCTTGGCTGCTGTTAGTGCCAGGCTTCATGAAAACTGGCTCAGAAACTATGTGTTTTGAAAATCAGCTATATTTACTGTTACTTATTTGTTATTCTACTTAGACTCCATTCAGAATAAGATTCAAGGCTGAATCCATGTGGCTGGACTAGAGGACTGATCTGAGAGGCAGACACATCCATCTTCTTCCTGGGTCACTAAACCTTCCATCTAGAAAGAGGCGAAGTCAGCCTGCCTGTCCTCTTTCCCTTAATACCAGTTTGAAGCATGCGTGTGGTTTTCCTCTCTAGGAGATACTTCTGTGTTCATAGAAATAGTCTGCTCATTGCCTGGCCATGTTTGTGTCCTGGAGTAGGACTTTAGATGAGTTTTAAGGTGGCAGGACACTCCAAAAAATGCAAATGCAAACTCTCCCCTGAGAACAGCAGGTAAATGCTCTGAAAAGAGGAGAAGAGAATATTCCAAACCCCTTACCTAATCTTACTCCTTGTAAACTTGTGTGATAATATATGAATGGCTAGCTGGGCATGGTGGCACACACTCGTAATCCCAGTGGCTCAGGAGGCTGAGACAGGAGTGTCTAGAGTTCAAAGCCAGCCTCAGCAAAGGCAAGGGGTAAGCGACTCAGTGAACCCTATCTCTAAATAAAATACAAAATAGGGGATGTGGTTTAGTGGTCAAGGGCCCCTGAGTTCAATCCCTGGCATCAGCATCATCATCATCATCATCATCATCATCATCATAATAGATGCAGATGGCTAATTCTCACCTGTTGCATATAGTCATAGGTTTTTGTCTTCTCTGTGCCTTAGTCTCCACATCTGTAAAGGGAGAATAATAGTAGAATTCAACTCACAGGGCTTCCCAGAGGCTATAAGAAGTTAATATATGTTTCATGCTTAAAAAAATGCTTATGTGTAGTGACTGCTATTTAAATTTTAGCTACTACTAATTTTTTTTCCTGGCAGTTTCTAATTCATTCTCATTTCCTGCATTTCATTAGACGGCCTAGTATCTTCCACAGGTGACCTCAGTTGCTTATTTTCTCTTTTACATTTTTATTTTGGTCTCCCCACTTCCCGTGCAATGATTGTTTTTAAACATCCTTCCTGCTTTTGTGTAGAATTTCTGATGCTGTTGGTTTTCTGTTTATTTAGCTGTTAGGTGCATTCATTTTTCCTCCTTACCTGAGGAAAAGGGAAGGTAGTGGTACTTCAGAGTCAAATCAAGGACAAGTGGAAAGGGCATCAAGATCCAGATGAGAGGGGTATAGCAGTAAATTAGCTTGGAAGAGGAGAGGAGGCAGCTGGGAGGAGAGTTTTCAGTGCTCCTCTAAGCCCCCTTCAAATTCAGATACCACATGAGCCTTTCATGACTTGATGGAGAGTCAGAAGGCAGAAGACCAGCCTTGGGCCTAACTCATCCTGTAAAGACAGGCTGCATCCTTATCCAAAATGCTTGGGACCAGAAGCATTTGGGATTCAGATGATTTGGGGGCAGGGGGGTCAAATTTTGGAATATTTGCATATCCATAATGAAATATCATAGGGCGAGACCTAGATCTAAGCACAAAATTCATCTATGTCTTATGTGTATATATATTTACATAAATATATAAATATATATATATGTGTGTGTGTATACATATATATAATTTATATTTGTGTTTTAATTGTATTCATTGATATTTTATGCACACATCACCTAAAGTAATCTCACAAGCTCCAGTACTCCAGCACTGACCCATCTCGTAAGGTGAGGCATGGAATTTTCCACTTGTGGCTTCATGTTGGTGCTCAGAAAGTTTCAGAGTTTGGAGCATTTGCATCTCAGGATTTCAGATGAAGGATGAGGATGCTCCACCTGGGGAGGCTGCCGTGGACTCGGCATGCTCGGCTGCTCTTGCTCTCCAAGAGCAACATGCTTCTCAGATCCTGGATTGAGCACCATTTTCCTCTTTCGGAAAACCATACTCCACCTTCACCACCCAGCTTGAAGCTCCAGTCTGCTGTTCTTGGAGAAGCTCTTCCCTTCATTGTCTGGTTGTCAGGTCCCTAGTTTTGTCCCCACTGTGATTCCCTCTCACCATCAGCACTGAACTGAACACAGATCCTCAGGGCACTCCTGTGTGCAGCAAAGGCCTTGCACATTGGAATCACTCATAATGGAGTGAGTGAAAGAAGAGGGAGAATAAATGAAAGACAAGAGGAGGAGAGACTGTTGATGTGAAAACAATAAGGACCTAGATTCCCTCTAAGGCCAACAGAATAAAAGATTAGCATGCTGTAAGAAGGAAGAGTGGGGTAAGGCATTTGTAAAAATATCAATGTCTTCTCTTCTGTGAATGAGACGCCTGACTGAACCTTACTGTGAAAATCCCCATGTACCTGGCTGGTCCAGCTGAGGCTTCTACACCTAGCCCTTATGACTTGAGCATGGCTAAAGTCAAGTTCATCACTTTGCATTTGGTCCTTCCTGACTATGCTGCAGTTGGCTTATCCCAGAAGAATGAGGGATGCTGGGAGTGGAGTAAGGTCTAAGCCTGTCAAGTGTATATTGTGAGCATCAAAGGCCAGCAAAATCAGCTGAACCCCTACTGCCAGGAGAGTTTCCCCATCACTGTGCACTGTTCTTCATGCTCAGCCCAACCACACCAATGGCTTTCAGAGTCCTTCAGAAGCCAGGACACTAAGCCCATGCTGCAAGCAACCCACTTGCCAGGCTTCAGGTTTAGACCCACCAGCCTTACTCTGGCTAGATACAAGGTAGCCTGTGACACCTCTGTGAAACAGTTGTCCCTTGGAATCCTCAGGAGATTGATTCCAAGAACTCACCCCCCACCCCCAACACATGCACCTGTACCCACAGATACCCAAATCCACAGATATTCAATCCCTTATATAAAATGATGGAGTATTTGTCTATGCACATCTTCCTGTACATGGTCAATCATCACTAGATGATTCACAGTGCCCAATACTGTAAATTCTATGTAATAGCTGTTATACAGAATCACGTAGGGAAAGCTGACAAGAAAAAAGTGTACATGTTCAGTGCAGACACAATTTTTTTCCTAGTATTTTCAGTCTGAGCTTGGCTGAATCCCATTATGAGAAACCCAGATCTAGAAGAGGGAAACCGTAATTTGAGAGAGGGACTGTGTGTTTGAGGGAGAACCATAAACCACATCCCAACCATCACAATCATTATAATCTTCTCTCAGTTGCCAGAGTCTCATCTTTGGAAGTGCTGAGCCCATCTGTGCCATTTCTGAGGCAGCGAATTCTTTAGAGTTCAATCCATTGTGTTGAGAAAATGTGATTCAGCAGGGGTTTGAGGGACAGACCTCTGGGATGCGGTGCATCTCAGTGAATGCTTTAGGTTTGGATCCCCTACTCAGTGCCAGGCAAGACCCTGCCATAGCTTGCCCACCCCTGAACAGTCCCTCCCTTCCTATGGGTTGCTGGTGGCAGCCAGGAGCTTCCTGCACTTACTCCCAAGGGACCTTTCTGGAAAAAGCAACATCCATAGAGCAACAGAAAGGTTAAATTTGATAGAAAAGAATGTGCCAGACTCAATGGGTTGAGAGTCTGCCCTAGGCCCAGCACAGAGCAGAGTGACTAATCTCCTGTTCTCCGGTCGGAGCCAACAGGCTTCCTCCTTTTCTTTGCCCCCTGGTGTGGAGTTATGCTCACATCTACTCAGGGTGCCTCTTATCCTCTGACTCAGGGACCTTGACCTCTACAGGGAGGGAGTGTTACTGAGAAATGTTCCATCAGGCTGACCTCAGCAGTTGTCACCACCCTAGCTTGCAAGGGCATTCAAGGCACCCATTTGTGACCAACGCTGGCTTGCCACCTTCCCATTCACACACACACACAGTAGACAGTTTTCCTAGGAACTCTGCAAGTAATACCTTTTCAGAGACCTTAGCATTTCCCCAAGGAAGTGGGGCTTCTGCAGAGCAGTGAGACAAACCTAGCCAGAGGATTCAGGTACCAGGAAGGGGAGTGCCCAGGAGCAGGGCTTAGGGGATTCAGTGTCACTGCTGGGACACTCTGTAGGATAATGGGACATTTCCTAGGTGACAGGTACCTGAGCGGTGAAAACAGGCTGCTAAGGAACTCTCCCATTCAGTGAGGCGAGGAAGAACACAGGAAAGAGGTGGCCTTGGGGAAGGGGTTGGTGAGGGATGTCTCTTCTCCACATTCATGGTTCTGTGCTAAAAGTCCCAGTATGCATATGAAAACAGAGCCCTCTGAGGGGCAAGGGAAGAGACTGGGTTGGTTCTAAGGACATAATAAGGCCTAGTAATTCAGATGACACCTTGAACAGGATGCTGAAATATTGGGACTTGGCTTGGCCTCCAAGTTATTGCGGAGCCCCATGATGCAGTGGGTGACTTAGATATCCTCCTCTATTTTCCTTCTTATTTTGTATAGATTTAATGGTTTCCCCAATCATCTTCCTAAAGAATACAGAAGGAGCATGAATACTTGAGCAGTGCAGGCATAATGGACACACAAAAAAAATCATAGGAGTTCAGTTATGCAGAAAACCAAGTATGGGAGAGAATTCCTCTCTGGCTGTTGGCCACTGGGCTAGGCCTTCAGGATTGAAGCTCTGCCTAACAAGGTGGACAGGCTCAGAAAGACCATGCACAGTGACCCCTGAGAGCTGGCTAGCTGGGAAGGTCTGTAGACTCATCTGGGAAATTCCACTTGATAGGGTGACTCTCTGGTTGGTATTTTAATATCTTCCCCACTTGTGGAAGATAGAAATCAAGAAAAAGCTAAAGAAAGCGAGAAAAAGATAGTGTGAGAAGAAGAACGAAACAATGTCTAGTGCAGAGGCCTCATTGTCAGGGACAAACTAATGTTAAAATGTAAGAAAATCTCTACCAAAGTAAGCCATTTGACCATCTTGAGATGGCCTTAACATTTCAGGGAAAGGTTTAGCTAATAGATATTCAGAAGAATGGTGCTAAGGAAAAGAGCAAGTTAGAGACTCTTCACTAGGGACCTTGATTAATAAAGGACCTTAATCATTTACATTTAAAGGACTTTAATCGTAAGTTAAGAGAATGGCTGTGAACAGTTCAACCTGCACCTCCCTGTGAGGCCCATGACTAGGCCCTCAGTACCTATGAGCACAGGAAAGGTTAGCTCAGATGCCCCTTGGGACAGCTGAAACAGAGGGGTGGCATCAGACACCTCTGCTGAGAGTCTGTGCTGGCACCACAGGCTGGGAAGTCCTTGTCTTTTGTGCTGAGTCCTCAGCTGGGTCTGGCTAATGTTTAACCAGAACCATTATGTTTAGTTCCTTTACAGGGTGGGGTGAGCTGGTTGTCTAAGGAGGCAAACCTCATATACTGCCAGGCATCCATATGAGGAATCATGGTGTAGTAAAACTTGACAGGAAAAGTAAATTCCAGAATTCCGAAGCCAAACAGTTATGTAAGATATAGGATTGCATTCGCAATAAAGTTCCTTAACATCTGTAGAAAATTCACTGCTACCTACATTTACAGAAACAGTAGTCAGTTTTTTTTTTTTTTTTTAAATAAGGGAAATGGTTTTAGAAGAACTGAAAGACTGGAAAAGACATTAGAAATTATCTTCTAATGTAATGCCTGGGCTGAATTTTTCCAAAAAAAAATGTAGACAGATGATTATTTAAAAAAAAAGCATATTCCTAAGTGATCACAACTCAGTCATGTTTAAGACACAGAAAAATAAAAGCTGTAGCTTTAATCATACTTAAAGGAATTCCAAGTAATTCTGTACTTGGGGAAGGAACTAGCTAATGATCTGGAAGTGAGACCTGGATGTTCTTAACAATCCCTTCTCGTTCTCTCACCACAGTCTGCATCTCCTTTCTTCCTCGCCATCTCCCTCCTACCCTGTGAGAGGAGTCTACACTTCTGAAGAGATTCATGAAAGAACTGGGGGCCACAGTGGGGGCCAAAGACAACATCAAGAATGCCCCCAAAGACCCTTTTCCACTACCCTATTTGAAAGATGATACCTGGCACCTTGCAGTATGGGAATTCTGAGGAAAATGAAGAGAGTTTTAAACGTGAAGGCAGGTCCATGAGATAAAATCCGTGTGAGGAAGGTAAATGAGGGCAGAATTTTATAAATGTCACTTTGTGATATGAAATGAGATTAAAGATTCTTATTATTTCTGTGATTCTCTTCCAGGGGAGTCACCAGATGTTCATCTCCCACCCCCAAAACACAAGCACAGATGTGTAAAATTAGGAAGGTTGGCGATGCCAGGCTACGGACAGGAAATAGTAAGCACTCTCATATGCTGTAGGTGAGTATGTATAATGGTGCAAACACTTTAGAACTCTATTTGGAAAGTTCTAAAAAAGTCAAACTAATGCCTGCTCTCAGAGCCAGTCATTCCACTCTTACATATAGACCCAAGAGAAAAGAATGCAAACATCTGTCCAAAGGCTTGTAGGTGAGAGCTCTCAGCAGTTTTCTTTATAGTAACCTTAAGCTGGAAGCAACTCAGAGATCCATTAAAAGGTGATTATTAATATTATTAATATTAATAATTATGTGCAGGGAACAGTGGCACATGCCTATAATTCCAGTGGCTCAGGAGGCTGAGGCAGGAGGATTGCAGATTCAAAGCCACTTAGTGAGGCCTTAAGCAATTTAGTGAGGCTTTAAGCAACTTAGTGAAATCCTGTCTCAAAATTAAAAAAAAAAAAAAAGTGGGGGGCATGGTGGTGGCTGGTGTTGCTCAGTGGTTAAGCCCCCTGAGTTCAATCCCTGGTTTTAAAAAAAAATTATGGACTATTTATTTCAAAAATCTAGAAGAAAGGATGTTTTCACCATAAAGAAGTGATAAATATTTGAGGATATATATATATAAATATATATATACACACACATATATATCTCCTATATTTGAGGATATATATATATCCTATATTTAAGGATACATACACACACATGTGTATGTGTGTGTATATATATATATGTTTAGCCTGATTTGAACATTGCACAATATGTACATCTATCAAGCACTACATGGTATTTCATTAATAATATAGTTTCTGTGTTTTTATATATCAATTAAAAAAAGAAAAAGAAGATGAATATCACAGACCGTGTTATAACGGAATAGCATTCAACAATAAAAATGAATAAGCTACTGATATACATAAAACATGTCAATCTCAAAATGTTTAATGCTGAATGAGAGAAAAGGGTCTATTTATACCAAATTCTAGAAAAATATAAAGTATTGTGAGGGAAAGCATATCAGTTAAAGAGCATATCAGTTAAACCCCAGGAAATGTTTTTGAGTGATGAATATATTCATTATTTTGATTGCAGCAATGGTTTTATGGATGTGTAGGTCCATATGCCAAAACTTACTAAGGTTTTACTTATTAATTTCATTTATATTTAAATATATGCAGTTCAATATATATACAATTTACTATATACATATATATAGCACATCAAAACATCTGTTGAAAATAAAATGTCCTTTCCATTCTTGTCTAGATTGCAGACTTCTAATTATCCTTATATAAATATATGCACTTATCCATTATATAACTATATATATGTCATTATATACATATATCTTTCCTCAAAACAGCTGTTAAAAATAAAATGCCCTTTTCATTCTAGTCTAGAGTACAGACTTTAATTATGCTTCAAAATTCACTTCTACTGTCAATTCCTCTGTGTCCTTCCCCAGTTCCTCACCTTCCCCACCACATGTACCATAACTAGTAATCTCTGAACACTTCCAGAGATCTCCAGTTATTGTCGGGGCCCCAAGAAAGCCTGCTACATGGTCTTCACTTCCTCCGACCTTTCTGGATGAGAGGAGCCAGGGAAAGTGAAGCAACTGCTAATCCGCCTGCTGTAGGCAGAGTCCCTTACAGGCAGCCCCTGGCTCCTCTGCTGCTCCTCGGCTGCTCCTCCTGCTCCGGATGCAGAGAAAATTGTCATTCTCAGCCAAAACAAACACTTCCTCATCTGGGAGGCCCACGGAGTGACAAGTAGCTTTTGATGTAGACATCACTCCCCCAGAGAGCTATTTGTTGGGAAGCTGGGAGGAGAAGGAAGACACTTGCCCGCCAAGATGCTGTGCTATCATATTTGTGCTTCCTGCAATGCGATCTTCATGACTCTGGGCAGAAATGATTGCTCTGGCACTTTAAAAGGAAAGTTGCTTCTGAAACTAGATTCTTCTGGCAGAGCTCTGACATGCCTTTATCAGGCCCGATGAAATAATCTGCAAGGTGTTCATTCGCTTTGATGGATCTTTCATACCAGAAATGGGGGAGAAACCAGGCAGAGGTCTGAACTTTACCAACTACAGCCGTTAGGAGCACTGGAGTGGGTTCAGGAGGTGCCTTTATCCTGGAAAAGCAAAGAAATTATTTTGGAAAACTAATTCTTGCCGTGAAAACAAAATAGGGGGAAGCAGCTCAGAAAGAAGGTGCCTGTGAACCGTTGTCAAGAAATGGAAGCACATCTTTTAAAAGGGATCCGAATTTGAGGAAACGAAAGAGAGAATCACTCTTCATAAATGGATATTTGTCCAGGGAATGGGGACAGTATTCTTTCGGAATCATAGACAATATTTAAGTGATTTGCATCTGTCTGGCATACCCTTCAACAGAGTGCTGTTATTCTGAATCCTACTTCCTAGGTCAATAAAAAATATAAAAAGCTAAGAGTATTGGGACACCCTCCTCATAAACCTGAAGTGCCCACCAACCTGGCATTTTGACAACATTCAAACTTTAGTAGAAAAGTCTCACAATCCAGAGTAAAAAATGAGCAGTATGGGAAGTTTACAGATGCTTGTTCCCTTTATTTCCAGCTAGCCTTAGTTTGGCACAAAAATGAAATTTGATGTTTTATCTCTCTAAAACAAATTGCATGTGCTGTCCATCTACTTGTCCTGCTTGGTGTTAGGTGCAACCATGACAAGCAGAGGGCCACATGTACCTTGAGAAGGTGACTGTGGAGTCAGCAGTTTGAATTAGGTTTGCTACCTAGAGGGGCAGAAGTGAAGCCTGGTGCAGTGCATGGCAGGAGCCGAGGGTGGGTAGGCACCTTGCACACCTCCTGCATGCCCATCTGATAAGGCCCTGCCAGGGTTTGGAGCAAGGGGGACCTGCAACTTGGCTGGGTGGATTGAAGCCAGTGATCTGAGAAAGAAAGTTCTCCTCCAGGGTTACCAGCTGGGCATCATCATGTTTGATTTGAAAGTGTTTTTAATCAAAGTTATGTGTATCTGTTACCTCTACTTACCTCATCAAGACCCCTTTTGGAGAGGCAGGTAGCATTTGCATGACATGCCTAAGAAAATATAAAAAGCTCCCTTTGAATTCAAGTTTTGATGTTAACAATGGAGCATTGAATCATAAGTCACTCTTGCAGAGGAAGCTGCTCAGGGTAAGAGAAGTAACTACTAGGTAAGAGAAGTAACTATTAGAAGTAACTACTACTAGTAGTGTAAAGGACAGAGGCTTTGCAGATCCCTGGGTAATGGCCCTACCCCATTCCTTAAAAACAAGAGCAACAGCTGCCCTGTGGTGGAGGGAACATTGGATTTCAATACCAAAGCCCTCAGTTGCAGTCAGAGTCCTGTTACTTGCCAGTCAGAACACTGGCAAGTCACTTAGTCTTTCTGAGGCTCATCGTCATGCTCTTTATGTAGGGATAGTGTATGACCTTAAAGGGCTGTGGTGGGTAAGGCATGGGAAAGCACTTTGCCCACTGTGAAGTGCTGTATGATTGGTGGGCACCATTTTTCTAAGCAGTTGCCAAGGTCAAGAACTGTAAAAGAGGCATCATCATTAATGTCACCACAGCATTTATTAAACAACTACTGTACAATCCAAGAGGCCAGGGAAGGGGATACCAAAGTAATTTAGGGTATGGTCACAGCTCTCAAGGGACTTATAGACAACCTAATGAGAAAGAATATGAAATTTAAATTTTAAAAAAGATGTTTCCCAGGTCAAGAATGATCTAGAAGTGAGTGAGTACAGATAAAGGGACACTAGCTTTCATGAACAAAGTAGTACTTGGGCTGAACACTGAAGGACTGCCAAGATGCTCGGGTGCCCATCATTTGGTAAACTTTTGGCCACACACGTTAGCAGAGAACGGAAGGCAGAATCTAAACTAGTTTCAAATTTACCCTTCACCATCAATTTCCCATTTGAGACTTTACCCTTAACCTGTTTTGTCTCATTGTCCCAGATGTGGAACATGTAAAAAATTTAAATATAAGCAGAACACTGTGGCACATGCCTGTAATTCCAGCAACTCGGAAGGCTGAGGCAAGGGGATCACAAGTTTGAGGCCACTCTGGGCAACTTATTGAGAACAAGATAAATAAAAAGGGTTGGGGATGTAATTATGGGGTGAAATGCCCTTGGATTCTATCTCCCATACTGCACACACACAAAGAAAAAGAAAGAAAAAACCCCAAAATCTTCAATATGGTATATAATTATATAATTTGCAATATAATTATATAAAAATAAGAATATGAGAAAAATATTAATATATCCTTTATTAATAATAAGCTCAAGATCATTATTTCCAATCTATTCTAATGCAACTGTGTTGATTTCATTGAAATATGTGCAGAATTGAAAACTTGGGATATAATGGGTTAAACGGTAGGTTACCTGTTTAGCTTTCTCCATATGTCAGAGAAATGTTGTAAGAAGGTAACATAATATTTCAAATGCCAGGCCTTTAAGTCTTTTGAAGCAGAGAAGCCAATAAACAAAGAGACTATTATTATGTCGTTCATTGTTTTTCAATATTTTCATCAGACACCATACCAAAACCTTCTGTTCATGCAACCCAGGGTGTCTATGAATGATAGGTCGCTGGTATTAATGAATTCCTTTCTTGGTGCACAGACCACAAGGGTATGTGAATGAAAACTAGACAAACGACCCGGATGTCATGCCAGTTTCTATTCACCAAACCGAGTGGTGTCTGTTTCCAGCCGCGGAGATACCGCACAAAGCCAAGCCATGGCCATTCTTTCTCAGGGCTTGCTGCATGCTCTCAACAACTTCACTCCAGGAATATTAAGTGTCTCTCTCCTCTATCCTTTCTTTCCCTTCATGGTAACTTTAGAATTACCACAAAGGAGAAATTCCAGACCTCACAGAGCCTGTCCCTGGAATGTGATAATCTCCCACCCACCCCCAGCCCCCAGCAGAGCAGCTCCCAAGGCCCACACCCTGGTGAAAAGCCCTTTTATAGGAGCTGGGTGTTGTTAGAAATGGTCACCCTACCAAAATAACATTCATGGCTGCCCTCACATCTTAACAATGCCTTGGTTTTCTTAATTCCAATGCTGTCTCCAATGGGCTGTTGCCTTTTCAGAGTTGAAACAAAGGGGGCTGCCGGGTGATAAGCCAGGGCCCAGCAGCTGGCCCAGGCTGGGCCTGTCGGCAGGATGAGGGCTGGGATCAAATGTGTGATTCATAGCTGGGAGGAGGCTGCCAACTCCAGCTGCAGGGCGCAGTCTGTACTGGCCGAGAAGGCGCTCTGCACTGTGCCCTGTGTGTGTGCTCTCCGCTGGGAGCATAGCTCCCACCCCGCCTCCCTCCCCAGCTCTTGTCTCCGCAGGGAACCCTTCTGTTCCACTGGCCAACACCCAGCTAGCTCCTTCATTCTATCCATGTTCAATCAGGTACTGGAAACAGTACATGACTCATGCCAGACTCAGCCAAGACCAACAGCACTAGGCTTTCTTTTGTTTAAGAGTTAACTGCAAGTTCCATAAATGATTTCAGTCAGTGGAGTCTTTGTTGCTTACATGGCTGGTCTCTAAAGTCATGGAAAGAGATGGCCACGTTGGAGCCATTGAAAAGCCAGGGCACAGTCAGTCACAAGACCTCATTCTTCCTTAAACCCTATCCTGGAAGATCATCATGAAGTATTTTCCTCTGAGAATTGGCCTTGGTCATGAGGTTGCTGTGAAAGATCGACTAGGTTTCTTAAGGAAGAGTTGAGTTTTAAGTGCAAGGCTAACAGTGTCACTCCAGGCACTAGTAAGGGCCTGCTGATGGATTTTACCATTGAACTTAGGGACCTGCTGCCGGTGCCAGCTTCTGTTTGGGGCAAACCTTAGGATTTCCATTTGAGAAGAAAAACAGTCCTTATCTCCCAGTAGAAATACAATGGTTGGGGGTGTGGTTGTGGCTCAACAGTAGAGCGCTCCCCTCGTACATGCGAGAGACCCTGGGTTCAATCCCCAGCACCACATAAAAATAAATAATTGAAATAAAGGTATTGTTTCCAACTACAACTAAAAAATAAATGTTTTTTAAAAAAACACAATGGTTGTCTTAAGGCATAAGTGGAGATGCAATACCAGTAAAGGATAGTTAAGATTAGTGACTCTCCAAGCAGCTAAGGATGCTTTAACACCTGGGAGGGATGGTGAAATCTTGTCATTCTCTGACTTAAGGGAGAGATCAAGTCATTCTCTTAATACCATTCCCACTGAGGTCCTGCTAATTGAGAAAACAAAGATCTCTTATATGTCTACTGTACTAACTTCCATATAAGAAGGAAAGAGGAAATACTCAGTATCTGGTGGTGGGGGGGGGATTGGTCCAGGACCCCCTGCAAACACTAAAATCCTTGGATGCTCAAGTGCCTTACATATAACCTAAGCACATCCCTCTGTATGCTTTAGTCATCTCTCCATGACTTATAATGCCTAATCCAACCTAAATGCTCTGTTGATAGTTGTTGCACTGTATTGTTTAGGAAATACAAGGGGGGGAAAGTCCGTACATGTTCAATGACAGACACAATTTTTTCCCCCAGATATTTTAAATTCCTGGTTGGTTGAATCCCAGGATGTAGAGGGCCATCTGTACTGTGTTGCTCATTTGTGCAAACAAAACATGGAAGGATGCAGCAGGGGCTGAGGGTAAACTCAGAGGTAGAGGGTTTGCCCAACACAAGTGAGGCCTTGGATTTGAATTTTTTTTTAAATATTTTTTTATTAGTTGTTGATGGATCTTTATTTACTTATTTACATATGGTGCTGAGAATCAAACCCAGTGCCTCACACATGCTAGGTAGGCAAGTATCTACCACTGAGCCACAACCCCAGCCCCCCTGCTGGATTTGATCTTTAAACACACACACACACAAAGATAAGGTTGGTACTGGTGAGTCTGGCTACTATAGGTGGTGAAAAGGCAGGGGTAAAAACAGAGGAGCAGGTGGAAAGCACAGGGGAATGACACTCCTCTGAGTTTTTAGATCATGAAGTATTTTCCTCTGAGTTTTTAAATAGCTTCGACTTAGTACCATGTTAAGGTTCCCATACTCAAAATAAATAAAATCAAAATCTGAAAGGTAGGCAGAGAAACTTCTATTCTTTTTGGAAAACGGGAACTTGTCTATATTATCATGGAGGTGGGAAGGGTCAGGAAAAAAAAAACAACAACATAAAGGGCCCTTAAAATCTTCTGGCCTTTAAAGAATCTGCTACCAACTCTAAAATTGAACTCTGTAATCTAAAAAAGGGAAACAGGCATAGCTTCCTCATCTCTGGAGATCTTTGAGAAGAGAATAGACATTCAGGAGTCTGTATCATCCCAGTAAAGGGCAGGCTGACATGAATGGCCTTTCCGGGATGTGGGATGTCATCAAGGCTGGATCCAGGCTCTGAGTATCAGCAGGTTTTTATCTCCAAATCTTATGTTCTCGTTTCCT